CCCCCCCCCCACCCCCGCTGGAGCTGGACTCTGGCAAAACTCTAAATGAAAGAGGCTGTATTCACTCCTGCGGCTTTTACAATTGCTTTCTCCTTCAGATCTACGCCTTCCTCTTCTCATTCTCCATTACCTCCTGACATTGTTGAGCAGTTGCTGAGATCACAATGTGCCTGTCTCTGCTTTGAGAAATGTTATCAATGCAATACTGAACTATAAATACTGTTTTTGCAAAAGTCTTTCTTTAGTCTCACTCTCTATAAATTACACTTATTTTGAACATGGCAGTTGCCTGTGTCTAACTTGGCTTTGTATCACAAGTTTATCTTTAACCTACTTTGTACGTCATTTTGAAAATGTCCTGATCCATGTGTCCTGGCTCACCTCAACCAATATTTGCTTTTAGAGAGGCAATAATTGCTTCAAAGAGACTCAGACCAGGTGGGATTTCAATGAAATCCCCTCTGAATTTCCCTTAAAAACTCAAGACTGATTTTTTCTTTAAATGAGGCCCCTATTTAGAAAGGAAAGCATAAAGGACAAGAATGAGAGCTGATTGGTATGTGAGAGAGAGAGAAGTTCAGATGCCTCTGAACACCCCAGAAACAGCTCAGTAGCCTTCTCTGAAACAAGGTCATAAGCATTCTAAGATTTCTATTGTTTCCCTTTCTAAATTTTCTTGCATTACACAGGAAATTTTTCATTATTTTATTATGGTAAGATATATATAACATAAAATTTGCCATTTTCAGCATTTTTAGGTGCACAATTTAGTGATATCAAGTACATTTACATTGTTGTAGAATGATCACCACCATCCATCTCTAGAACTTTATCATCATCCCAAACTGAAACTCTGTCCTAACTATTCCTAGGATGAAAACTGAAATTGTTCCAGTCAGGACCTGGCCTGCCTGTCCTAACACTGCTCACCTCTGACCCATCTTCCAGCCATGCCCCTCCCTCACAGTCAGCCCTGCAGGCACCCTAGCCTTCTTGGAGCTCCTCTGCCCTCCATGAAGCTCTGTAGTGTCCCAGGCTGGGATGCTGTCACCTCACCACTGACACAGAGCGAGTGTGATGGGCAAGACAGATATTAGGGGTCTACTGCTGTAAGAGAGAATGAGAGGAAAAAGGGTAGGACAGAGCAAGAAAAGTTGTGATGCAGGCCTGCCAAAGCCTTAGCCAGCCTGGTGGGAAAGCCCTTGAGCAGACACATTCTGAGTATTGCTTGGTCACTGGGTGCAGGCTCCTCCAGTTAGGGCAGAACAGTCACTGTGAGCAAGACAGATCTGTGCATGTGAGGCAGACCTTGAGGGCACTGACAGGTGGAAGCTGGCTGCTGTCACATGCCTTGGTGGAAGGCAAGTTCTCCCTTGAAGAGTGAGGGCACATCTCTGCATCTACCATACCCACCAGTATTGCTCCTCCTTCTACCAGGCTTAGGGGCTGCTCACAGTCCACTTCTCTGAAAAACTTTTGCTCAGCCCTCTGGGCTGTAAGCAAAACTCATAAGACTCTTAATTTTTCTGTCCAGCTGTTATCACAGTTTGTAATCATGTGTTTGTGTGTGTGGTGTGTGGTTATCTAATTGATTTCTGCCTTACCTAAGAAACCATACGGTCTGTGCAGACAAGGACCATCTGTGTGACTCACTTAGTCCCAGAGTTCAGCCTAATACCTGGTACATGATAAGTGCCCTGTAGAAACTTGCCGAGTTAAGGAATTTAGACTGGTGACATGTCTTGCAAACATATGATTCTCCCAACTGTATGGGTCATCAAGAGCTTGCTGAGTATTTCAAGCTCTCATCCAGCTCAAAGGGATGGCATTCATGATCATTGCAATCAAATTGTATTTTTAAAATTTAGAAGCCTACTCCTGCACCACCCCAATCTGGTGTTTGAGGGCAAAATAAAAGGAAGGTTCACACTCTTACTACATCGCCATCACCACAACCATCACCCCAAAGCCTGTTAAGGGCTCATTGCATTGCAATGCAGCTCAAATTTCACTTTACAAGTCTGGTCCCTACATGTATGGCCTGTAGCACTAGGTGAGGAATCACAGTTCCTGCTCTACACTTAATTATGTCATACCTGAACAAGTCACTTAATATCTCTGAGCCTCATCTGTAACATGGGAGTTACATTTGTTCCTTCTACTTTATCAATGTCTATCCTGTTAAAGGGTGCTTTTTATCTCTCAGGCAAGAAAGTGCTTTGCAAATTATAAAGTATGGTTCATGAGAAAGCAAGGGAGCCTTGTTCTCACACAGTATGACAGGTTGGGAGAGGACATATTTGGGTCACTAACTTGTTTTCTACAATGATTACATGGGAGCCTACGTAGATGGTTGTGTACTGGGTATTGTTTTTCCCACTTGTGTAAATGGATTTGTGCTCACCTCTCTAACCCTGCCCTCCCTCCCAGCAACCCTGCCCCTTCTGATCAGGGGTGGAGACACCAGGAAGTACACTGACCCTTGGATGGACAGTGAGGAACTGTGTTTACATCACAGGTAGGTTAAGGTTTAGTGGGTTTTGGAAGTGGAGGGGAATGTGTTGGTGTATGTCTCTCCAACTTGGCAGAGCAGGTGAGAATATGTCCTTGAAGGCAGTGGATTCTTTGGGAAAGAGTCTTTTACCTGGGGACTGAATTCCTGGCCACTGAGACAAGTGGTAGGGGTGGAACCAGTGTTGAGAAGCCAAAACAACTAGGAATTGTTGGGCCAAGCTGGTTAACAGTCCTAACTTGGGATTACTCGGAGAGATCTTTGGTTTCTGTTGCTCTCTCCACCACCCCTTCCTCTTTACTGATAATTTATTTAATCAAAGTACATGACATTCTCATGACAAGGTTCCAAACTCTTGGCTTTTAGAGTTACCTCACTGAACTTTCCTCACATCCCCATGAGGTAGGTGTGTTACCCTATTTCACAGATAGGGAAACTAGTCTTACAAAGACTAAGTAAATACTCAAAATCAGCCAAGGGGCAAAGACTTATGCACCTATACTCAAACCCAGATTTTCTTGTACCTTTTTCCCTACACAATTGCGTTTTAATTGCCTCCTGCCCCCTACTTCAACAAATCTAATGTGAGTTCGTGTTTGTTGGTGTGAGGGAGCTCTGTGCTGTTTTTCTGCCTGAAATACCTAGACAGAGTTTCCAAGATGGGAAGGGACCTTAGAGGTCATTTAATTCTATTTATTTTTCAGATACAGAATCCGAGGCTCACAAAGGGGAATGACTTCCCCCACATCCTCTCTGTGGATTTTAGTATTTCAGACCCTGCGTCTTTCATCCCTACTCTTGTCCTGCACATGCTCTGGGTGAGCCAAGAATGGCTTTGCCTGGAGACACCTTTGCCAAAAATAATAGCTACCCTGTGCTGAGCACGTATTCTTCAATCAATACATACGGAATGCCTATGTGTTGGGAACACTTAGAACTGCTGTGAATACTATGAACAAGAAAAAAGCTGCCCCTGCCCTTCTGGAACTTACAAGGTTAATGGGGGAGGCAGACCCCAAGCCAGTAAAAACTAAACAACAGAATTTCAAATGCTTGGGAGGAAATAAAAAGAGGTAATGCAGGTGGGGGAAGGCTTCTGATGCAGGGGTCAGGAAAGGCTGGCCACATGGTACAGGCCAGGTGCTGGCCCTTCGATCTCACAAAAACCCTTAGATACTGTAGGCAAGGGTTTTGCCAATAGGTTTTAGCCCTGGGCAAGTTCGCTATGGATTCAATGTGACCAAATAAATTGACAGCAAGACGTTCTTTGCTGGGAAAGGGTTTATTACCGGGCTTGTTCTCCCAGCGGCAGGTCGAGCACCAGCATCTCTGCCCCCGCCCAGAACACTGGGCGGTGCTCTCTATATAGCTGCAATAATAGCTTATGGCCTAAAGGTGTGGAAGCGGTAGCCTAGCAACAGGCCAGTTACATCATCAGGTGGTTTAAGTTCAGTGAGAATCCTGGCCATAGGAACTCCAACTTCCCCACAGCAGGTCTCCGTTCAGAGTGGCAGTCAAGGCCCAAACTCCTGACCTCCACTTCCTACCAGGACCCGTGGAGCGGCAGCTGCCACTGTCGTGCCCTGGATGATGAAACTCTGGGCGAGGACTGCACCATCTGTCAGCTTGCGACTTTGAAGGTGTTGGGGCCGAGAATGGGGTGGGGTGTGAGAGAAGGCAGGGATGCGCTTCCAGGGAGAAGCTGCAAATAGCTCTAAACTCGCATAGGTTTAACAAACAGCCCCTGCGCGGCCCCCGCCCGGCTCTCCATTCCCTCTAAGCGCACAAAGAGCCCGCCCAGCCTTTGGCTGGGCCAGACGTTGGCACCCGCCTCCTGCCGGTCCCCGAAGGGCACTACGGGACTTGTAGTTCGGCCAATTCACCACAACTACTCTAGAAACGGCTTTGAAACTACAAGGCCCAGGAGCCAGCGGGCGGGTCCGGGGCGGACTCACCGGCTGTGGGTGTGCAAGCGCAGGGGGCCGGGCGGTGCGGGCGCCTGGTGCTGGGATGCAGCTGCCGGCGCAGGAACCCGGGAGTAGCTTCAGGAGCGCGCGCTAGCGGGGTGCGGCGAGGGGTGGCCAGGAGGTGATAGGCACGTTGCATGCATGCATTGGGCACAGCCTTTGCAAAACCTGGTGTGCAGTGCGTGGGCTCTGCAGTGGCGCGGTGGAGGGGCCGAGACCCCGGGGGATGGGCACCCAGCCCCGAGCCCTGCTGGCATCTTTCGCTGAAAGAGCCCTTGGCTGGGTTTGGGGTTGGGGGGACGGGTGCCGCCTTGGGCTGTGCGCGACGTGTTTCTTTTTCTCTTTTTGTGCCAAGGTTTGTCTGGGCCGGTGCGCGATGCAGCGTGCGGCGGCACTGGTCCGGCGGGGCTGCTGCCCCCGGACACCGGGCCCCTGGGGCCGTAGTCAGAGCAGTGCGGCCGCCGAGGCCTCGGCCGTGCTCAAGATGCGGCCCGAGCGGAGCCGACGCGAGCGCATCCTTACGCTGGAGTCCATGAACCCGCAGGTGAAGGCTGTGGAGTACGCGGTGCGGGGACCCATCGTGCTCAAGGCTGGCGAGATAGAGCTAGAGCTGCAGCGGGTGAGCGCGGGCGCTGGGCCCGCGGGGCAGGGGGCCCGGGGAGACTAGGGGCGCCGACGTGAAAAGTAGCAGCTGTCCGCTGCTAGGGTTCGCCCGCTAGACCTCCTCCCACTCTGGTGGCCAGCTCTTTGATTCGGCCAAGCTTGGCTAACACAAGGGAATGCCCTCCCATCGCTTCACCCACTAGTGCCCAGCAGCTGGCACAAAGTTAGGCCCTCAAATGCGGTTCACTTGTTGAATTGAATTCATCAATTATAATTCAGTGGCCCGTACTGCCAGGCACTGTGCGTTGTGTAGCTGTCCTACCCAAGTGGTACCAAGATCTATTGCGGTGGGGGGTGGGGAGGAAGGGGGTGCTAACAACAAGCAGTAAAGAAACAAGAGAATTTCAAATAGTGAGTAAGTGCTTTGAAGAAAGTAAAATGGAGCTGCAGTGGAATGGGGGTGTAGGATGGGAGTGGTGGGAAGTCACGTTAGGAAGGACGGGAGATAGGAAGGCTCTGAGGAGACTGGGATTTGTTCCCGAAGCTTTTAACCCTCCTAAAACTTTTGGATCATTCTGCGGGTAATGACTGCTGTACAAGAGCTGGGGTGTGGAGGAGGGTCCTGCCCAATTCCTTCCTTTAGGCCCCCTCTGGAACTTTGACTTTTAGCCATATATTGTTTTGTGAGGACACAGTCATCCCAGTGGGTAGTCAGAGTCTTGGGCTTTGGTAGGATGGCCCTGGGGCTAAGTGCATATTGGTCTCCTGCTGGCTGAGTTCACAGCTGTGTGTAAAATGACCACACACCCAGGAGTGGTTTCTGCCTCCCTGTTACCAGGGTGGCTGGGATGAATGGAAAAGATGTCCCTGTAGCAAACCAGAGTTCTAATCTGGGTGGAATTCAGGTGGTGGAGTCCAGAAGGGTAATATTAAAGAAAGTAAACACTGCTAAGATTTGTAAGAAATGATGAAATAGTCACCCAGCTGCTTGCTCACGATAGTTATAACCCAGAATGGGGGTGGGAGGAGGATTCCTTGATCTTGCTCTCAGAGGCATCACAATTGAAAGTCTTGGGAACAAGCTGGTCATTTAGTGTTTTTTGAATGCATGGGAGGCCCCCATTCCCATGGGGATTTGAGGGGTTTGATGAGTTCATGGCCTGCTGACACCTTGTTGGAACACCCAGTTCTGCTGACTCAAATTAGTGAGCTGGACAAGTCAGAGTCCAGTGTTTCTCTCTGACTACTTGCAGGGCTAGGCTTAAAGCCTAGCCTGCAGAAGGCTTGGTTTCTGTGCCTCCTTGGCCCTGTGTTGGGCTGGGAGCAGAAAACGGGTTTTTGCTGCTCTACACCCAGACCGGAGCTGGCCTTCTTTGGGACAGCAGGCTCCCTGTCAAAACAAATCTGAGATTAAATTGTTCCTAGTTTATCACTTTACAACTGGTTTCTCTTGTTCTAGAGCTGGTAGGGGTTCCATAATAAGGATTATCTCTACCTTTTGCTAAATAGCACATTGGGTGGGGGCCCCAAGAGGATGATTGGGACAGAAAGGGACGAATCTTTGTCTTGAGGGAGCTAACTGCCTTATAGTTCTCCGGGCCTGAGCCTCTCCTCCCCCAGTTCTTTAAGGATTGGTGGGATTTTTTTTTTTTAACAGGCAGAGAAAAATGTGAAAAAGCTTTCCAGGTGGGAGCAGGGCTGTGAGCAAAGACAGAAGGTTGGGAAATTCTGGACATTTGGGGAAAGTGATTGCTGCTGTTGGGAGAGCACTGTTTGGCAGACGCATATGGGAGGTGAATGAGATGGCAAGTCAGGGAATCGTGTGTGCAGGCATCAGGACTTTATGGTGCAAAGTTTTGGTGTGAAGTAGGGAACCAGGAAGGGTTTCAAACAGGGTGTGGTTTGATGATCGAGGAGGACAAATTTCTTGGTCATTTTGGCTGGAAATACCCTATGGGGCAGATGCCCCATAATCCCGTGCCTACCCCTAAGTAAAATGAGACTCAGTTGCCCAGCTCTGGGTGCTGGAGATACAGCCTCGACAGCCTCGCTTAAATATTTCAGTCTTGGGAGACAGCCTCTCACCACTTTGCTAGCTTAAACAGTACCCTTTCTGAGACAGCCACATTTTCCCAGTAATTTCTTTTCCTTCTTCCTCCCTTCTACCTTCCTTCCTTTCCTTGTCTTTGCACATCTTAAGTTTTTCTATCTCTATTTGAACTGTAGTGATCAAAACTGGACTTCTTTTATAAAGAGTGATTTGGCTAGAGATGGGATAGGCAAGGATTTGTAGGGCATAGGGTAGCTTGGGGTGAATCTCATATTCTTTCTGGGCTTAGGTTTCCTCCCTCTATAAAAGGAGCGAAGTGGCCTGATAGGCCCAGGGTTCACCCCTGCCCTTTGTACCTCCTTGTCCATCTGAAGGTGTCCTGCAGAACCTGAGATGGCTCGCAGTGCTCCCAAGGCATTTATGCTGCCTTATGGAATCATTTCACCAGATGCTGTGCAAACAGTGCTGGCTGTTTGGCTGAACACATAGCTCTGGTGTTTAACTTTGGGGTGGCTTGTCGGGCGGGTCCTGTCCTGTGATAGAAATAGAGAATGCTCAGGAAAGCCTGAAGGAGGAGGGAGGTTGGCTAAGTGGGTATGAAAGAGGCCATTCTTGTCTAGCTTGGTCTGTGTGCTCTCAGGGAGGCCCTGTTTCTCCCTGACAGCAGCTCCAAGGGAGAGAAGCTTCTTTTAGCAGCTTTTAAGATCCCGGTTTTAACTGGGAGCAGCAAGTAAAAATAAGCTCCAATTAGCAGAAGTTTTGCAAAGATCTGTCAGTTCTTCCTCAACCTATTTCTTTTTCCTTTGCCTTGCTGGGGGAGGGGAGGAGGTTGGCACAAGTGGAGACGGGTGGCTTTACTTCTGTTTATAAAAGTACATACAGTCGGGGCAGAACATCCATAGAGGGAAGAACTGACTAGCACTGTTACCCTCGGTGTGTGCTGCATCTAGATACAGATGAGAACGGAGGGGGCTCTGATACACTGTAATAGTCAGCTGAGAACCATGATTAGAAACCCTAAATGTGCCAAGTACAAGTCTTATTGGTTATTTAATTGAGAGTTTAGATGCTACTTTAAAATAGAGAAATATGTCATGTAGGCTTCCAGTGGGACAAACCTGCCCACCGTGCCCAGGTCACCGTGGGGCCTGCGCTTGGGCTTTGCTTTTTGTGCTGTGTGTCTCAGAGAAATCATTCAGAGCACTTGGCCTCAGTTTATTCCTCTGAAGAGTGGAGCCAATTCATTTCTTCTAAAGACTAGTTTGAGATGTTAGTGGTGAGGATTTGAACAGCTAGAAGCCAGTTAGAACTCTTAAGAGTTTTTGTTCTCAAGCTGATGAATGCGTGGGACAAAGTGCCAATGGCCCCTCTTCCCTTTCTTTCCTCCTTAGTCTCTCTGGGTCTGGGAATGTGCTCTGTGGGGTATGCGGCTCCTGCCTGGGTCTCAGCCTTGCTGTCATGAGTTATCCTGCATGGAACTCTTTCAGTTTCCATCTCTGCTTCTGCCTTGCAAATCTCAGCTTCTAAGGTTGACCCTCCCACAGAACCCCAAGAGTGGGAGCCGACAGCCAGCCTTCCTGCTTTGATGGGCAGGAAGCAGCCCTTGGGGCGCCCACCTAAGCTCTTAATCATGGGCGTGTGTGGCTTTGGCTCATTTCTTCCAGCTTTGCTTGTTTTTCCGTAATGGTGGGGGCCAGTCCCTGTGCTGAGCCTCATGTCCACAGCTGTGAAATGCACTTATTTTCAGGGGCCTCAGAGAGAGCTAGAGTCTGTCCCTGGGGCCTCCTTACAGAGCTCTGTAGGACTTCCTGCCAGTCCCAGTCCTCTCAGTCCAGGGGCTTTTCATATGGTTTTCTTGGCCTGGGGACTGCCTCACCCTCTCTCCCTTCCACCTCCCATTTCTTATTCTTCACCAGCCTGAGGCTGCAAGGGTAGTGGCCTCTCCTGTTGTGAGGCACAGGTGATCCATAAGTATCTGTTGAATGAGAAGGAGGTTCTCTAGGAAATAACTGTCCACATGACTTAACACTTGTCCTTCCAAGACTTTCTGTCCACATGCCACATGAAGTGATGGGAGCCATTCCTTGCGTGTAGGAGACGGCCTTATGCCTATTAGTCATAGATGGTCCCCTTGGTCCTCATGGTGATGCTAGGCCCGTGTGCTGGGAAGGACAGTTCTCCTCCTCACTAACACCCTCTGAAATGCACTGCCTCCAGAGCCTGGGGCCTACTCCTCTGATGTCGCCTTGAGCCAAATGATGGGAGGTCCTGAGCAGGACCTCATTTTAGTGCCCCACGAGGAGACAGCTCTGGGTGGGTTGTGCATGGATGGGTTAGACAAGTGGGCTCTAGGTCGCTTTGAGAGGGAACTAGGATGCTATGTACAGACCTGGCTAGCTTCTGGGGACAACGCTGAGGCAAGGTCACCATGAAGTGTGCCTGCCAGGCCTGAACAAGTCACTCTGGGCGGGAGTCTGCTCTTGGCTTCTTGATATTTCCCAACCCATGTAGACCTTGAGTGCCTAGACGTAGGAGTCTTCCCAGAAGTTCTTTCTCTGTGGTGGCGCTTGGCTGGGCAGATTGGTTCCCTGCCTATTCAAGGGAGCCAATTTCCCTCCCCCAGCTTATCTATCATAGAAAGTATCAGATCTGGAGGCATCCAGACACGAGGAAGGAGATCCTCACAGTTCCCAGGGCCCTTGTCGGCAGGCCCTGAAATGATTGAGCCAGTGCAGGGGGAGGGCACAGGAGAACATCCAGGGCCCAGTTCCGGGCATTATTCTCTCCCTGCAGTGGGCTGGCTGAGGATCCGCAGCTGTTTGTTGGTTCCCAGACCTCCCCTGTGACAGATTTACTCCCTACCAAAGAATGGACTGTACACCATGGAAATCACCTGTGTTCAGCCAGCCAGGCCTGGGGGAGCCATTCAATCCTTCTGACAGAGGGTCCTGTACCAGGAGCCCAGACCAATGCCAGTGGGTGGGTCAGGCCCTCACCTTTGCACACAGTAGCTTGGGTTGCTCACTCATCCCCAGACTTCTTGGCTCCCGCCTGTGAGATGAACCCTGAGGCCACATGCCCTGCAGCCCTATCACCAGGGTGCCTGCTCTCACCCTGGCCTCACCCGGAGCAGTGGGTGGCACTCCCTCTCCCCACCTAGGTCTTTAGGACATTTGGCTGCTTCTCCATGCCCCCAGGGACCTCTTTCCATATTGTCCAGCCCTGACTAAGGGACACAAAGGAATTTAAAAAACTCTTTTCCTCCTTAAAACAGCTTTTGGAGACTTGTCAGACCCTGTTTATGAAGGTCCAGGGCCATTTCTGTGGCACCTCCTCAGCCCCCTATGCCTCCTGCTGGAGAAGCCCCTGGAGAATTTCTTACAGTGGAGGCTTAGGGGTAGCAAAGGAGGGTCAGAAAACCTTATTGGCAGCTGCTTTCATCTCTTAAGCCCATTGGCTTTTACTTAAGGTTTGTATTACTGATTTAAAAAGGGAGAAAAATTACTGGAGTTTTTTTGGTATGAAATGAGAAAAAGACAAGTGTCAAAACCATAGAATTATGTCTTTAAAATTTGTATTTAAGGTTCCTTTAGGTAAAGGACAACTTGACATGGAAAGGTGGCCAGGCCTTCCATCCAGGCCACCTCAGTACTGCCATGTCCTTGCCCACCCACTTCTTCCTGCTGCATGACCCCTGCAGCCTTGTTCCTGGTCCGGCTTTGTGAGATGATGGTATTTGTACTCTGCCACCCACTTTCACAGTTTTCATCTCAGATAATCCTTTCAGATGCCTGCAAGGTCCTTGAACCCACTTTTGATTGTTAACAGTGGCTGATTCTTGACTTACCAGGGAGCTGTATGGAATTCCCACCTTTCCAGATCCCCACAGTCCTCCATCGGAACCACATTTTCTCCTTTGCAGCAGCCAGGGTGTCTTCAGGGCCTTGGAGCGCTTCCTCTCTGGGACCTCTTTACTGTACTAACAATGCTCAGGCAGTGGCCTCAGTTGTGCTGTTCAGCCATTCTTTTCATCCTTGAGGCTTTTTAGAATATGAAAATCAGCCCACATGCTTCATTCTGCAAAGCCAGGTTGCAAGGGAACAACTCCCTGAGGTCCCTGCTGATGGGGGTCTTCTGGAGGGGAGGGTGGCCGCAGTGCCTCTGGCCAGTTACTTAGGCTCTTTGCAGGTGGGGAGCCAGGGAGTTGTGGGATCCATGCCCTGATGTTGGTGGCCTCTGCTGCTGATCCCTGCTTCCCTCCCACCGCTTTGGCTCCAGGGTCCTCTTGGATAGGCTCTTAAGTGACTCTGGTTGTGGAGCTGCAGTTGCCTTGGGGTGCTCTCCAGCCCTAGAAATCTCTTCCAGGCTTCTGGAAAAGTGAGAGACAGTGGAGCACAGGCTTAAGAAGGGTGATCTTGGAGGCTGGCTTTAAATCCCAGTACTTGTATTTATCAATTATGGAACCTAGTACAGGTTTCTTTGCCTTTTGAAGCCTCAATTTCTTCATCTATAAAATGGAATTAATACTAGTTCTTGCTCAAGGAGTAGTTGTGAAGGTTAAATGGGGCCAGATATGTCAAGGGCTTGGCACTATGCCTGACACCTCAAAATAGGGTTGCTTATTAATATCCTGGGAGCATTGCTTGGTTTTGGAATCCGGGGTTGGAGAGTCCCTAACAAGCTGTTCACTTCTCTCTGCTCAGGGTATCAAAAAGCCATTCACTGAGGTCATCCGTGCCAACATCGGGGATGCCCAGGCCATGGGCCAGCAGCCAATCACCTTCCTTCGACAGGTGAGCTGGCCTTTGGGAGCAGAGGCTGCTGGGAGAGCAGTGAACCAGAGGCTGGTGGGGCCAGCCAGTTCCTCTACCTCTGCCTCCTTGCCTGTCTAGCCCCCTTGGGATACAGCAGGCTCCAGAATCCCTCAGAGTTGGTATAGAGAAGCAGCCTCCTCTAGTGCCTGCTGTCCTCTGATTCTCTCCCTCAGCCTCCTCAGTCGCCTAAAACTGCTAAACCCCTTTCAGGGTTGCTCTAGTGTCTGAGGCTCCCTGGGATGCCCTTCCAAGTGCATGGTCTGAGATGCTGAGTTCAGACTTGAGGGCATTGGAGAGGTGGGTGGGAGGGGTGGAAGCTCAGTGGGCTGGGAGGTGGTGTGTGGGGGTCCACATGTGGCTTCCAGTGCCACCCTACAGGTTTGAGGGTTGGTTTTGCCACTTCCCAGCTGGGTGGTTTGGGGCAAGTGGAGATCACCAGAGCACTGCTTGGGACCACTGGGGACCTCCATGAGATGTGTGTAAAGGCCTCAGCCCAGTAAGGGGTTGGTGACTGTGGTCAGCTGCTGCCCTCCTAGCTGCCCTGCTGATGTGACCCAGCTCATGCCCGAGGCCTCCAGGGGCAAGTCTCTGCTCTAGTTTGAGCTCCAACAAGTATGCCACATGGGCCAAAATTGTGGGGTTGGTGGGCTGAAGGGGAAAAACAGGGTGGGAGAATGCTACAGGATGTCCTGAACAGAGGCTGGAGACCAGCTGTGGTGAAAGCTTTTTCCCAGAGAACCAGAGCCTGTTTTGGAGCAAAATATGATCCTTGTGTGTGGTTAAGGTTTGTGGGCTGGGCAGGCAGGGAAGCTGAGTGCTGAACACTCCACTCTCATTTTCCCTGCCTGTGTCTCCTGCTGCAGTGGCTGGTCAGAAGGGCCCCAGCCTGCAGCCCCTGGGGGGTTCACACAGGTATGGGGGAGAAGACCTGAGGCAGACATCCATCTGAGGACCCCCTGCACCTCCCTCCCATGACCACTGCTGTTGACCTCATGAGCATGTCAGCGGCCCAAGTTGGACCCAGGATAGGGAAATGGATCAGATCAAACAGCAGCTCTGCCAGGGAAGTGGAGTTGGGAGGAGGTCAGAAGGGCCTTGGTTGTCCTGGAAGCACACAGCTGTGGGAGACAGAGGCTCTGCACACATGCCTAGGGCTGTGGGCATGAACAGGCGCCTGTTGCCTCAGCCTTTTCTGACTGGCTGACATTCCCAAATCCAGTCCTGCTGCTGTCCCGTGGCAGGCCTGGCCTCTCCCACCTGGTGCTGGCCTCCTACAGCCTTTGCACATATCCTTTGATCTTCACATGGACCCCTGGGAGGAGGGCAGGCCAGATCACTGCCCACTGTGCAAATGAAGAAAAGCCAGGCTCCAAGAAACTGGCATCCATCCAAAGTCACCGAGCTGGTGTCAGAGCTGTGAGCCCCCAAACTCAGTGCTCCTGGCACTGTTCCTAAGCTGCCAGCTTAGACTTGCCTGGTGAGCTGGGGTTTACTGGCACTTTTGCAAACATTTCCTTGCTTAATCCTCTTAATTTGTGATGTTAGAGTGATTTTCTCTGTTACAGAGATGAGAAAGCTGATCCAGTTTTCAGTTCTGGCCCAGAAAGGGGGTGATGGTGAAAACGGGGGGGAGTGGGCCCAGGGCAAGGGGGAGGGAGCTCAGGCTGTGAGGTAGGAAGTGAGTCTGCAGTCCTCCCGTCAGCTAGCATTCAACTGCCTCCTCAGTCCTGGGCTCCTGCTCAGAAGACCCCTGGCTCTTGGGGCCTTGGGTGTGTAAGCTGCTATCCTGTATGGAAGAGTTGGGACCAGGGGGCTGAGTAGCAGGCTCATTCTGTTCCCCGGTCCTCTTCTGGCAGCCTACTATTGGGTCCCAAGCCCAGGCCATGGGGTACCCTAGCTCTCACCATCTCTCCTTCTGCTGCAGAGAGCCATGTCCTCTTCCCCATCTACCCCTAGGCTCTCACAGGCTGGAGCCGTCGTGGAGAAGCCTGCTGCAGCACTGTCTCTTGGAGTTGGCCTCATCCCATCTCCTGCCCAGGGCCCTGCATGTCTGTCCTGGGGCCCCAGTGTGGGAGTGCTGGGAACCCAGCTCGTGCCTCTGTTCCTCCAGGTGATGGCTCTCTGCACCTATCCAAACCTGTTGGACAGCCCCAGCTTCCCAGAAGATGCTAAGAAACGAGCCCAGAGGATCCTACAGGCATGTGGCGGGAACAGCCTGGGTAAGGCCCCAACTTGCCAGGCCCCCAAGGGCATGAAATGAACCCGTGTTTTCAGCATGGGCCTGGGCCCTGGCCCAAAATGGAGGGTTATGTGTGGGAGTGTGAATGTGTGTGGGGCGGCTGATGTGCAGAGTAAATGAGTTGTGTTCCTCTTGTCCGTACTCTGTTAGCCTCTTTGCTGATGTTTTTTGGTTGATTGGGCACTTTAGGTGCAAGAGCTTGCATTTGGTAGGATTTTGGTTTTACACCTGGGAGCCAGGACACCTGACCTTCACACAGAAGGTTAAACCCAGCAATTGGCCTCAGTAATGGGAGGCTGAATGGAAGCTCAGACCCCAGCTTCGTCCCACCTCTCTGTGGCCCCCAGCTCCAAACATACAGCTGTGCACGCTACACATTCCTGCATTGTCTGGGAGGTGGTGGTCAGTTGTTGGTGAAGGGGAGCCCTGTGAGATGGCTCTGGCTGCCTTCTGGTGGTCTCCTTCCTTTTGTTGCCCATGGCTCCACTTACTGTGTTCCTATCTCTCCCAGCATTTGCCCCTCTCTGCTGGGAGTCCATTTCTAGCCATCTGCCTCCTATTGGACAGAGCTCACGAAGCACCAGAGGGCTCCATGGCAAGAGGCCCTGGAATTTGGCCCCTGTACATGTGAATATAATATTCTCCCTCCCTTCCCAGCTGAGATGGATTTCTAGCCTCCGGGCCTCTGGCTCTTTGTTCTCATCTCACATTCATTTTTCTGTTTTTGCCCCATTCCTTTGCCCAGTGCCTACACAGGGGATCCAGCTGCCCTGCTCTGAGGAGAACAGTTGTTCTTAAAGCTTTTCTAGGACATGTGCCTGAATGTTCCAGGACGTGGGACAGGGAGTCCTGTGGCTTGCTCAGTGGGGGATCAGCCAGCCTGGGCCTCTGTCATTTCCCTGCATCTCCCCTTTTGCTGATCTGTCCCTTTATGCAGAGCTCTGCACTTAACCTTAGTGGCTGTGGTCACCCCACCGGCCCTCTGAGTCTGGGCACTGTCCTTAGTGGTGTCCCTCTCAGGAAGGGGCCAGCCACCCTTTGCTTTCCTGTCAGTCTGGGTGGGGTGTGGGCCGACACCTTGTGTGGCAAGGCCAAAACCGCAAGCTGGCGGAGAGTGGCCCAGAGGCCTGGCCTCCAGGCTCCTTTCCTCCTGTGCCCTGCACAGCCCAGACGACAAAGGTGCTTCTCAGAGGCCATGAAAGACCCCTTGGCCGTGGGCCTGAGGCTCCTGGAAGTTGCAGCCAAGATATGGGGGAGGGGGTTTTCCTTCTGCAGGTCTGCTGTGGATGTTGGGGGATGTGGGAGGCATCTTTGTTCTTCCTACTAACCTCATCAAGTTTATGCATCTCTGTCAGCCAGGGCTTAGGAATTAGGGTTGGGAGGCCTCATCTGTGTTGAGTCCTCTCTTGAGGTGTAGCAAGAGGACACTTGGTTTTGGGGATTTGCACTGAGCTCTAGAGTCTAAGGACCTCATGAGGAGGACAGTTGAGATAGGTGCTCTCCTCATCCTTGAACTANTGGCCTCAGTTTATTCCTCTGAAGAGTGGAGCCAATTCATTTCTTCTAAAGACTAGTTTGAGATGTTAGTGGTGAGGATTTGAACAGCTAGAAGCCAGTTAGAACTCTTAAGAGTTTTTGTTCTCAAGCTGATGAATGCGTGGGACAAAGTGCCAATGGCCCCTCTTCCCTTTCTTTCCTCCTTAGTCTCTCTGGGTCTGGGAATGTGCTCTGTGGGGTATGCGGCTCCTGCCTGGGTCTCAGCCTTGCTGTCATGAGTTATCCTGCATGGAACTCATTCAGTTTCCATCTCTGCTTCTGCCTTGCAAATCTCAGCTTCTAAGGTTGACCCTCCCACAGAACCCCAAGAGTGGGAGCCGACAGCCAGCCTTCCTGCTTTGATGGGCAGGAAGCAGCCCTTGGGGCGCCCACCTAAGCTCTTAATCATGGGCGTGTGTGGCTTTGGCTCATTTCTTCCAGCTTTGCTTGTTTTTCCGTAATGGTGGGGGCCAGTCCCTGTGCTGAGCCTCATGTCCACAGCTGTGAAATGCACTTATTTTCAGGGGCCTCAGAGAGAGCTAGAGTCTGTCCCTGGGGCCTCCTTACAGAGCTCTGTAGGACTTCCTGCCAGTCCCAGTCCTCTCAGTCCAGGGGCTTTTCATATGGTTTTCTTGGCCTGGGGACTGCCTCACCCTCTCTCCCTTCCACCTCCCATTTCTTATTCTTCACCAGCCTGAGGCTGCAAGGGTAGTGGCCTCTCCTGTTGTGAGGCACAGGTGATCCATAAGTATCTGTTGAATGAGAAGGAGGTTCTCTAGGAAATAACTGTCCACATGACTTAACACTTGTCCTTCCAAGACTTTCTGTCCACATGCCACATGAAGTGATGGGAGCCATTCCTTGCGTGTAGGAGACGGCCTTATGCCTATTAGTCATAGATGGTCCCCTTGGTCCTCATGGTGATGCTAGGCCCGTGTGCTGGGAAGGACAGTTCTCCTCCTCACTAACACCCTCTGAAATGCACTGCCTCCAGAGCCTGGGGCCTACTCCTCTGATGTCGCCTTGAGCCAAATGATGGGAGGTCCTGAGCAGGACCTCATTTTAGTGCCCCACGAGGAGACAGCTCTGGGTGGGTTGTGCATGGATGGGTTAGACAAGTGGGCTCTAGGTCGCTTTGAGAGGGAACTAGGATGCTATGTACAGACCTGGCTAGCTTCTGGGGACAACGCTGAGGCAAGGTCACCATGAAGTGTGCCTGCCAGGCCTGAACAAGTCACTCTGGGCGGGAGTCTGCTCTTGGCTTCTTGATATTTCCCAACCCATGTAGACCTTGAGTGCCTAGACGTAGGAGTCTTCCCAGAAGTTCTTTCTCTGTGGTGGCGCTTGGCTGGGCAGATTGGTTCCCTGCCTATTCAAGGGAGCCAATTTCCCTCCCCCAGCTTATCTATCATAGAAAGTATCAGATCTGGAGGCATCCAGACACGAGGAAGGAGATCCTCACAGTTCCCAGGGCCCTTGTCGGCAGGCCCTGAAATGATTGAGCCAGTGCAGGGGGAGGGCACAGGAGAACATCCAGGGCCCAGTTCCGGGCATTATTCTCTCCCTGCAGTGGGCTGGCTGAGGATCCGCAGCTGTTTGTTGGTTCCCAGACCTCCCCTGTGACAGATTTACTCCCTACCAAAGAATGGACTGTACACCATGGAAATCACCTGTGTTCAGCCAGCCAGGCCTGGGGGAGCCATTCAATCCTTCTGACAGAGGGTCCTGTACCAGGAGCCCAGACCAATGCCAGTGGGTGGGTCAGGCCCTCACCTTTGCACACAGTAGCTTGGGTTGCTCACTCATCCCCAGACTTCTTGGCTCCCGCCTGTGAGATGAACCCTGAGGCCACATGCCCTGCAGCCCTATCACCAGGGTGCCTGCTCTCACCCTGGCCTCACCCGGAGCAGTGGGTGGCACTCCCTCTCCCCACCTAGGTCTTTAGGACATTTGGCTGCTTCTCCATGCCCCCAGGGACCTCTTTCCATATTGTCCAGCCCTGACTAAGGGACACAAAGGAATTTAAAAAACTCTTTTCCTCCTTAAAACAGCTTTTGGAGACTTGTCAGACCCTGTTTATGAAGGTCCAGGGCCATTTCTGTGGCACCTCCTCAGCCCCCTATGCCTCCTGCTGGAGAAGCCCCTGGAGAATTTCTTACAGTGGAGGCTTAGGGGTAGCAAAGGAGGGTCAGAAAACCTTATTGGCAGCTGCTTTCATCTCTTAAGCCCATTGGCTTTTACTTAAGGTTTGTATTACTGATTTAAAAAGGGAGAAAAATTACTGGAGTTTTTTTGGTATGAAATGAGAAAAAGACAAGTGTCAAAACCATAGAATTATGTCTTTAAAATTTGTATTTAAGGTTCCTTTAGGTAAAGGACAACTTGACATGGAAAGGTGGCCAGGCCTTCCATCCAGGCCACCTCAGTACTGCCATGTCCTTGCCCACCCACTTCTTCCTGCTGCATGACCCCTGCAGCCTTGTTCCTGGTCCGGCTTTGTGAGATGATGGTATTTGTACTCTGCCACCCACTTTCACAGTTTTCATCTCAGATAATCCTTTCAGATGCCTGCAAGGTCCTTGAACCCACTTTTGATTGTTAACAGTGGCTGATTCTTGACTTACCAGGGAGCTGTATGGAATTCCCACCTTTCCAGATCCCCACAGTCCTCCATCGGAACCACATTTTCTCCTTTGCAGCAGCCAGGGTGTCTTCAGGGCCTTGGAGCGCTTCCTCTCTGGGACCTCTTTACTGTACTAACAATGCTCAGGCAGTGGCCTCAGTTGTGCTGTTCAGCCATTCTTTTCATCCTTGAGGCTTTTTAGAATATGAAAATCAGCCCACATGCTTCATTCTGCAAAGCCAGGTTGCAAGGGAACAACTCCCTGAGGTCCCTGCTGATGGGGGTCTTCTGGAGGGGAGGGTGGCCGCAGTGCCTCTGGCCAGTTACTTAGGCTCTTTGCAGGTGGGGAGCCAGGGAGTTGTGGGATCCATGCCCTGATGTTGGTGGCCTCTGCTGCTGATCCCTGCTTCCCTCCCACCGCTTTGGCTCCAGGGTCCTCTTGGATAGGCTCTTAAGTGACTCTGGTTGTGGAGCTGCAGTTGCCTTGGGGTGCTCTCCAGCCCTAGAAATCTCTTCCAGGCTTCTGGAAAAGTGAGAGACAGTGGAGCACAGGCTTAAGAAGGGTGATCTTGGAGGCTGGCTTTAAATCCCAGTACTTGTATTTATCAATTATGGAACCTAGTACAGGTTTCTTTGCCTTTTGAAGCCTCAATTTCTTCATCTATAAAATGGAATTAATACTAGTTCTTGCTCAAGGAGTAGTTGTGAAGGTTAAATGGGGCCAGATATGTCAAGGGCTTGGCACTATGCCTGACACCTCAAAATAGGGTTGCTTATTAATATCCTGGGAGCATTGCTTGGTTTTGGAATCCGGGGTTGGA